TGTATTGAGGTATATCCTAAGAAGAGGGATGCGGTCAAGAGTTTGCCTAGACCTCTAACCCTTCTGACATTATAAGTTTTTTGGGTTTGGCCGATTACTATAGGAGGTTTGTTGAGGTGTGTTTCTCCATTGCTTCTCCGTTGATGGCTTCGACTCAAAAAAAGGCTAAGTTTGAGTGGTTGGAAGCTTGTGAGAAAAAATTCCAAGAATTGAAAGATAGACTTATGTCCGCTCCGATGTTGACCTTATCGGAAGGTACAGATGGTTTTGTGGTATATTCTGACGCCTCTAGAGTGGGGTTGGGATGTGTCCTCACGCAAAATGGGAAAGTTATTGCCTATGCTTCAAGGCAACTTAAAGTACATGAGAAGAATTATCCTACCCATGATCTTCAAATAGCGGCGGTAGTATTTGCCTTGAAAATATGGAGACATTACTTGTATAGGGTCCATGTGGATGTTTTCATCGATCACAATAGTCTTCAATATGTGTTTAGTCAAAAAGACTTGAATCTCCGACAAAGAAGGTTGTTAGAACTTTTGAAGGATTATGACATGAGTGTCCTTTACCACCCCAGCATAGCTAATGTTATAACAGATGCACTTAGTAGATTATCCATGGGTATTGTGGCTCATGTAGAGGATGAAAATAAAGAATTGGTTTGTGAGGTGCATAGATTGGCCCGACTAGGTGTCTAACTAGTTTATTCCACCAAGGGTGGTGTCATGGTCCATAATGGTTCCAAGTCGTCCTTTGTGATGGATGTGAAGACTAAACAAGATCTAGATCCTTTATTAGTTGAGTTGATAGAGTCGGTACTCAAGAAGTTCGTTGAAGTTTTCTCCAAATGGGGAGATGGGTACTTAGGTACCAAGGTCGATTATGAATTGCGGATGTTGATGGTTTGAGGGAGAAAATTTTAGAGGAAGCTTATAGTTCTCGATATTCTATTAATTCGGGAGCCATGAAGATGTATCGTGATCTACAGGAAGTCTATTTATGGAATGGAATGAAGAGAGATACTGCGAGATTTGTAGCCAAATGTCCCAATTGTCAACAAGTTAAGTTGAGCAGTAGAGGCTGGGAGGGTTGTCCCAAAATATAAGTATTCCCTCCTGGAAGTGGGAAGATGTGAATATGGACTTTATCGTGTGTTTGCCTCGGACTCGAAGGCAACATGATTTTATTTGGGTCATTATAGATAGGATGACCAAATCAGCCCACTTTATTCCCGTCAAGGTTTCTCATTTGGTAGAAGACTATGCCAGGTTGTATATAAATGAGATAGTGAAGTTACATGGGGTTCCTTCATCTATAATTTTGGATCGGTTTACTCAATTTACTTCAGACTTTCAAAAGTCATTCAAAAGAGGTCTTGGTACTAAAGTTAAGCTTAGCATGATTTTATATCCCGAAACGATGTACAAGCGGAGCGTACCATCCAAACATTAGAAGAAATGTTAAGGGCATGCGTTATAGATTTCAAGGGTAATTGGGATGACCCAAACATTGATATTGTGTTGAGCATGCTTTTAGTTGGAGAAGGTAGTTCCTCCTATGAATATGAGAAATGTTGAGTTTCATGCATAATGAGTTGTTAGATGTAGTTCCTACTTCCTTCTATTGCATTGATTATGTTTTAGATGGAGTTGAAGTTTCCTCCTTTGAATTATGCATTATTTTTTTGATGTTGCACACATGATGGGCTGCTAGTCTTGAGACTTTACCTCCATAGGGTGTCTAGATAGTCATTCAAGGATAAATGTTCCCAAGGGGGAGATAATGTAACACCCCATTTTTACAACAGGTAAAATATTCACTTCTTAGTCGACTAGGCGTTCTGCCAAGTGGAACCTCCTCGCCTTTTTGGCTTGGTCCCTCATGTCCTGCATTCTGTAACTTTAGGCGAGCTAAGTCGGGCTGGCTGTTCCCATCAACGAGTCGACGAAGTCGACTCCCCCATAGCCTAAGTTGAATCATCCCCCAAGTCGGCTTACTATAAATTTCAGCGAGCTAAGGGGTCACTTGGCGAGTCACCAAGTGCCCTTTGCGAGCTTCAGTGTGCAGATCTGCAGTTTTTAAGTTGGGAGTCATAGGGGTTTTTTGTTATTTTCCTAATTCGGTACTACATACTTTTACTCTTTCCCTAGTAAAGTATATAATATTTTTATGCTCAAAATTCCCTCAATTAAGTCACTTTCCGTAGAATTCTAAAGAAAACCCAGATCTTCATCCTCTCCAAAAGAAATTCTCTCTCAAGAACTCTAAGGAAGAAGATGAAAGAAGGTGAAGCTAGGGCTTGAAGGATCATGTTTTCTACTCAATTTCTTTGGGGATTCAAAGCTAAGGTAGTGTAGTCCTTCATCCATGGATAGTCTTCATCCATAGAGTCCCTCCAAACTCAATTTGAAAGATAGTAATTTCCCCAAAAGTTAGGGTTTTAATCCAAGTCATGGATTCCTTTTCAAAAATGATTCTATTTATTTAATTACTGATATTATGATTGAATTAATGATTCATTATAGTTTTATGATGAAATCTCCCAAGAATCCATGAAATCCCCATATTTCCAAATTATCACCTTGTGATGTGGGTGAATTCTAGAAAGAAGAGTATTGTGAGGTTATGCTTATAGTAATTGTAGTAATTGAATCATGTTATTATCCATGTCTAATGTAGTAATTTTAGATGTGTTGATTGAATGTGATCTATGTTCCTTGAAGGGCAAACATGAGAATTATGCACGATTATGAGGCTTATGTATATGTTTTTAGAACACTTTGAGAGTAAAGTGAATATGATTATGATCTAGTTGTTGTGTTGTTGGATGATTGTTCTCATGTGCACACTTATGCATGAATATGATATGATGTGAAAGGTTTGTCACATGTAGTGATTCTAAGGTTGGAAGAGTAGTCTGACCTATCAAATCTATGAGCTTTAGTATGACTGATGTTGGATTAAGTGTCAAGACATTCTTCCATAGTTTTGAACTTAAGTCAAGACTTAATATGAACTCCATGGTCATTAATGCTTAGCACCGAGTGGATAGTGATATTAGATGGAAGCCCTCATGTTAGTAGAGGACGTCTTTCTAGGAGCAATATATTGGGATGGAAGCCCTCACGTTAGTAGACGCTGGGTATTCTAGTAGCAATCCCCTTATCCTATAAATTATGTACCATCATAGGTCTTTAGCTAGTGGATCCACCTATGCTAAGAGTATGGTTCTACCTTAGACAAGTAGGACAACCCCTTTTCGAGGTTAGTTATACACAAGATTCCATGTTAAGCTGACATGGTCTAGGTCGGTTAAGTCTTATCCCACTATGATAGTATGAACAAATTATGAATTATGAAATATAGCTACTCAAGAAGCTTTACTTAGTATGGGTGGGATTATGGTATCTTATTCATGCATTGCACAAGTATGTTTTGAAGGTATATGGTATATTTCCATTATGTTATGATAGTCTATATGTTGAATATGCTTATGACTTATGCTTTTCCATTAACTGCAAAATGATGCTTTAACTTAGTAAAGTGCATGCATTCAACTAAAATGTTCCTTACGACTCCATACTACTCTCACACTAACAAAGATGAACACATTCATGATTACAACCATAGGTTTTCCCTTATTTTCCAATCAACATTCGTTTCAGCTCACTCAAGATTAACGGCCTTTTGAATTCTTGTAACAGCGCTAAGTGAAAAGGTGTGGTCATTTAGGCTCTATGGCTACAACCCTCATAAAATGTAGTTTGAACATCACTTTCTTCCTTTTCTTAAACATTTTGATCATGTTCATAATTCACCCCATTAATAACATTCAAATGGACTTCTGGATACCCCATTTCTTTTGCAAATTTCGTCACTTATTTCACAACTTTTTCATTCTTTTTCTTTTTCTTTTCTTTTCCTTTTTTTATTTGGACGGGTTCCATTTTTTTTTTATTTTTTTTTTCAAAACAATAACTCAGAGGGGAATTTTTCACACTTCTTGATTTACCTTATCTTGTCACCACACCCCCAACGTAGGCTTTTGTCCTAAGTTGGCTATTCAAACAAAGCACACTTCATGAGAGTTATGGGTTAATGGATAAAGAGGGGTTACATTTGTTCAAGTTTCTTCCAAAGAAAGGGTAAGGCTCAAAGGGGTTCAAACAAGGTTCACACATCTCACAAGGTTGGCCACAAAAGAGGTATATTGTCAAATTGTTTCACTCATTAAAATTGTTGCCTAAGATTATTTCAAGAGCTTGCATCATTTAGTCAACTGGACAAACGGGGTAAATTCTAGGTGAAATCACACATAATATTCAACGTAAGCTCATCAAACAAGGCATTGGCACCAATATCAAACGAGACTCCCGAATTTCTAGCTACTCTGCATTTTTCATCACAAGACACTCATTCGATAACCGACTAGTCACAACGAGATACAAACAATTCACACATTGTCTATGCAACTTCATTTGGCCGTATCGTAGTCGCACATTCATTTCGTTCAATTAAGAGCACTATTTAAGTCATCTGTATTGATCATAATAGATACTCAAATTCGTACAAGAACAGCCACAATCCCACACAAAAGAGGTGGCACATTTTTTTCAAAATAGGTTTAAAATGATTTCTATTCAAAACCAAGGAGCCACAAACTCAAATATCGACAAGACAAGATCAAAATTATTAAAACACACTTTTAGATCATAAAACCCAATATTCACCAATATTCACAAGAAAAAATCATAACACAAGAGGTAGGTATTGAAATACCTCATCCCTCCCACGAAAGAAAAGCAGTTGCCCTCAAATAAAACTAACACAAAAATCAATAAAAAATCAAAGAGGGTGGTAAAGATGATCTTGTCTACTCAGTCGCTCCGTCTATCGAGGCATCATTGCTCGGTGTCGCAAAAATTGTAGATCAAAATGTCTCTGTTAGTGATGTCTGAAGGACTGACTGTACTATCATCTCCTTCAAATCAGGTAGGTCCCTAATAGATGGTCTCCTCCTGAACATCCAGTTGATCCTCATCTGTCTCCTCCTCAGACTCAGCAGCAGCAACATCCTCCATAGTCTCATCTTTAGTGGTAGCCGGAGGCATATCAGAGCTGGCCGGGACATCTATACCCAGAACCTCAGGAACCTCAGCTGACTCAAACAACGAAGTGAAGTCTATGGATTTCAGATGGTCCACATCCTTCCTCAACTCAGAAACCTCGGCTTTCAAAGTCGTAACCTCGATAGTAATCCCCTGTTGACTCTCACAAGTCTCTACTCTCGCTGTGAGAGCATCAATAGATGTCCAGAGAGGTGTCAAAGCAGCTACAATTTCTCTGTCAATCATCTAAGGCACCTCAGCCTCTAGCCCGGAAACCCGCACATCGCATAATGGTCTAGTAGCCCCATCTTGAGGAACATGGCCTGACTGATCAGAGTCCTCGAGGCAGTGGTACCTGAAGTAGAAGGCTGGGAGGTAATGGTAGTGCCTGGATCCTGGGAAGGACTGGAAGTAGATGTACCTGAAGGCCCGGAGGCCGGAGTAGGCAAGGCTACCTCTGCAGGTATAGAATTAACATCAACCTCCGGGGATGTATCCACCGGAGCTGCTCTCTTCCTATCTACCTCATCCCGTGTGTACTCGGCCTCTATGTGCCAGATATTAGTGAAGGATGTGGGTGTAATCTCAATATACCTCTTCGCGTTAAAAGGAACACCACCCCGCCGACACAAATCTGTGATAAGCACTGGGAAAGGGAGGGGTGTATAGCGCTGCTTAGCCCTCATGGCCATCTCCTATTTTATAATGAACCCCAGGTTAAGCCTCTTCCTTGCTATAATTGATCTGAGACAGGTCGCCTTTGTGTTGCAGAGGATGGACTCATTCAGTGAGGGCATGATAGAACTGTTGATGAACCCAAACCAATACCGAGCAACGTCCTTCTTCTTAATATGGTCTCCTGCCTCAATCCACCTCGGGGTGGTATCAGAAATGAGGGGAGCTAGCCAGCCCTTTAGGTCATCCAGAATATGTGTTGTAGTCATGCCTTCATATTGATGCTCAAACCCTTTATCTCTGACAAGTGCAGCCTTGATATCATCGCTACTAGATACCACTGTTATCCCCCGTAGCATTATAGACGCCACCGGTTTGAATGCACTAGCCTTCTTCTTTCCCTGGAGTACTAGATCACCATATGTGGTGTTGAACTCTCTGACCCATATGGGGATGTATGAGCCACGGGCTTGGTGAATATGTCAAATTTGTTGAACCGGAGAGTTTCAAAAATAAAAGTGTACCTGTCCACCATACAATCCGTTGATAGTTTATTTTCCTGCAGAATGGTCCTCAATCCCTCGAACATTAGCTTGTTGAGTAACCAGGGAAAGGACCCTGAACTGGTGGTGCTGAAACCATCGTCTATGTCGAAGCTGGCACTTATCAACAGTACGAGAAGTAGACTCTAGATTCTAGATGGATCTTGACGAACTCTAGCATGAATCTTAACTCATCGGGTCTCAAGTTGTTGGTCATCCTCAGGCTTTTAGAATGAGGCCTGAGAATTAAAAGAATCCCCATCACTACCGGAGTTGTGCTCCGGTCTCTCAGCTACAGGCGCTTTGCCCTTGCGCTTGCTTCCCTTCAGAAGTCTTTTCTTGCCTTTTATAGAGGAAGCAGTTGCTCCCTCATGGATCACAATTCCCCACGCTCGTTTGCTGGGCGACATTCCACTTTCGTCCCAATTGGTCCTAGCCATATCTGCAAAACACATCGAAAAAATTTAGAAATAGTTCAAGAAAATTTGCAAAAATCAAGCTACAGAAAGACACATAGAACCAGTAGGCGAGTCACTTTGACGAGCCAGATCGTGCTCGCGAAAAGGTCTGGCTTGAAAATTTTCCAAAATAATGGCAAGTTGGCAATGTACAGGGACCTTCGGTTAATCACTGACATCACTCGGCGAGCTCAGACTAGCCCACTGAATATTACAGTGTGTTTTAGGGGTTAGGGGCGCAAAAAAAGCAATCGAAGGAACCTTCTAGCAAGTCGTCATGTCAACTTGGCAAGCTCAAAATTCCCGCCAAAAGTTATAGACTATAACTAAGCCAAATTGAGAAATTAAAGGCGAACTAGGGGGACATTGGCGAACCACCGAATAGTTCGACGACCTCGACCCAGCTCGCCAAATTCCCCAACGTGGCAAACTTCAAGTCCTATTCCCAAAATCAAGTCCACATCCCTCAAAATTAAAATCAAACTCACACAGTATGCAATTAGGTCCAGATCCAATCGACCCATGTCTCCGGGTTACTCAAATTTCCCCCGATTTGGCCAAAATTGGCCATTTGACGACTTAAGCCTTCAAGAATGATGTCAAACGCTCCATCATTAGGAAAAGTACATCATTTAGCACACTTGGGGGTTACATACACTTCACCAAACTAGACCCAACATAAAATAATCGCAACCCAATAATTTACAATGAATTTTAACGCACAAAACTTGGGGAATCCTCATTTAAAGCAATTAGGCACAATTTCTAAACACTAGATAATCAGACCAACACACAAACACAATTTAAGTATAGACCCAACAAACAACAACACATATTTATTGAATTCATTCTAGTCCAACCACTAATCAAGAGTTCGGGGTTCAGAAAAACCAACCTGATTGCTGAATTTTATAATTTGATATGCTAGGCGGCAATATAATCCAAATCTGAGCATGAGACAACAAAAAAAAGTGATAAAAATGGGGAAATATGGAAAATCTAGAGTGAGGGTGTAATATCCCGTAACTTAAATACATTTGCGACTCGTAAACACTAATGCATAGATGTGATATCGGGGGAGGTATATCATTGAAAATGGTTAAGCATACCATGTAACCCTTATATTTAGTCATTTGAAGGGTTAAACAAAAGTTTTAGGTCAAAGAGATTATTAAAGAAAGGATTAAAGTTTAAACGTTCATTGTGGAGGAATACTACAAATGATCTCATTTCTCATCTGACTTTGAACGAGCATATCTTGTAATATATAACGAGTTAGAGGGCCTACAACCTATCCAATTGAAGGTATTTGAGTCTAGTTTCCACCAAAACAAACTTCTCGTTAAAACGATATCGGAGTAAAACGTTATGTTCATTCTATGACAGACGCGCGCACTGCCTAATCACTGCGGGACATGTGGCACTTTAGAGAAAGTCGGCCAAACTTGTTGTTTTAATATTAGAAGTTTGGGATATACTTTCTCATATACTCAAGAACGTGTAAGGAGTAGTTTCAACTTATTTCTTCAAGTTTTTCTCATCTTCAATCCACCAAAGCTTAAGGTAAGTTGGTTTCTTCAAGAATCAAGTGTCTTCTTATCCATAGACCTATAGATATACTTAGCTAAATGTTTTCTTGAAGGAAAAAGTATTGTTCTTGGAAAATAAACAGGGGCAGGGGCTGCTTTTCTTTGGTATATAGGTATGAATCCTCTTTTATCTTCATAAATAGTATTCCAAGGAACCTTTAAGTATAATTTGCGGGTAGGACTAACAGGACGATGATAGGAAGCCGTGAATCCATGTTTTACCCATTGTATTTGATGTTTTATTTGAGGAGGGACTTTGTAGAAGGTTGTGTTAGTTGTTGTTTTAACCAAATGAGGGGTCAATGGTATTGTATTGGGGAAGTAAGATGGTTACATTGGAATGGAAGGCGAGGTATAGAGAAGACGACTATTATAGTTCTTGAATGTTTGTCGCTCACCAAGTGTTTGATGAAATTCATAAGTCGCTAAGAATATGTTGTAGCTGGTTATATCAGCTCCTATTATTTTAATATATGGAATTAGTTCTCTACCAACTTAAACTATGAGCTTATAAAGGAATTTGACATTGTTAATAAGGAACCGGTGGGATGGTGATCAGAGGCCATGAGCTTTACTTTTATGTTAAGTGTGCATGATTAAGGGGGCAGGTTTTTTATGGTTAAAGGATGAGGAGTAATACTGAAAATGTAAATAAGTCATAAGCCTACTTCGGAAGTTGAGAAAGGGAAGGGTGTGGTGATACACCACTCATCTATGGTAATTGTTGAGACTCTCGCTCGAAAACCATTATTGTGTTTTTGGCATTGTTGTGACTCTTGATTAGTTTCTTATACTATCCTTTTATGATTTTATTTTATAGATAAATTTGTAAGCAAAGGAGTTTGATGACATAAGATAGTAAGTCCCAAATTAAGGTATGTAAAGTTAAAACCTCTTTTGCCCTTAAGGCACGACCTAAACTCGCATGTTCCTCCGATAAATGTCACTATAGATTCTATGATACTTGAAAGAAAGTTATCTTATTTTATAAACTCTCTCATGTTGAGTCCTAAACTTAGAGAGTTATAGTACTCTTCAAGGAATCAATATTCACACAACTACATTTATCTACAGTTGGAACTCTTAGAAGTTAGCGGTGTACATGTTGCATAAATTTGAAGAAAGCAGTGAGCCACAGACTATTCATAACTGCATAGGTCACAAGATATATGATTCTCAAGCTAAAGAATGTATTCACGAATTGTATCACAAGCTATGTGATTAATGAATTAATTATTATAAATAATTGCAAGGAGTTGAGATTATAGATTAATCTGCAGCGTAGGGTGGGTATATTTTGGGCTACTACGTGCGACACTACTCTGTGCACAGAATTCAGATATGGTCAGCTGGAATTTTCCATCGTGGATTCACCTGACTGATACAGGCCCGCAGGTAGACCATATAGGAGCCCTTGGAGGGTACCTTGATAGACCTCGTTACAAGACTATGAGATTTCACGCGCGGTCGTGACAGTGGGCGACAGATGCGATGCAGGGTTCACTAATCACCGTCAGTAGGCCATCATGTGATTCCGTGACAGTTAGCTTTACAAAGAGCAAAGAAGCGATATAATGAAGTAAAGATATCACTTAGGAAAGTTATAGGGATTATATATATATAAATGACTAAGTCATAAAACGTTCGAAGAGGACCCTTGAGGTTGGTCACAATTCTAGTTACGACTTATGTCTCCTGCATACACATACTCAGATTTTCCTATCATGATATTTGATGTCTACTTGTTATTCAGTTTGTTTTACGTACCAGTACATGTTTTGTATGTACTGATGTCTCTGTTATTTTGGCGTTTTATTTGTATCACTACAGGCTCAGGTACTCAGTAGACTAGAGACTTCCAGTTTAGCAGTTGGTAAGCTCCACCTCTTCCTGGAGCTATCATATATTTAGAGCCTATATTTTGCTACGTATGTACATATATCAAAATGGGTATGTTGGGGCTTTATCCCGACTACTTATAA